TATTAGCCTGGTGTCTTGAAAGGGTTAACTCATCTCTCAAGGCCACGCAGTTGATTTCTAGAGAGCACTTTATTCACCTCCCCCAATCCCAGGATGGAGCCCTTTGTCTCCAGCTCCTCTGAGCTGGGGCTGTACAGCTGGTATCAAACACATTTGGACTTCCCAAAGACTTAAGCGCCTTCAGTATCAGGCTCTGTTCTGCACAGTTCCCCTAAAGAGGCTACAGTCTGTTGTGTGTTAGCACACAAACTTGTCATGTATGTAGCTGCTGTGTGCTGGTCAGCTCTTAATAAAGCTATACATTCATAAAGGAAAGAAGCCTCGCCGTTCCTCGGCGTGTGGGCTTTGGAATCAGGCATTCAGGTTTGGATGCTGACCCTGATCGTTACTAGCTGGGTGACCTTGGGCACGTTATTTAGCAACTCTAAAGGTTAGTTTCTTTCTCTACAAAATGGGACGATGGAACTACATCCCTCCCAGGGAGCTAAGACCTCGAGGAGGAAGGCTCAGGGAGTGTTTGTTGACTGAAGGGCTTTGTGGCTCAGGGCCTAGTGCTGAATGAGCTCTCCATGGGTGTTAGTTACTGCTGTTATTATTATTATTGTTGTGAAATCTTCCCTGTCTTCTCCGTGAAGTCTCTATGGGGTCCCCTAGAAAAAGCTAATGACTCCCTACTGCGTTCCCATCACAGTTTGCAGGTGCCCCTCATATAGCTCTTCCCACATTGTATTAGATATAACTGCTTGTTTTCCCCACCCTGACAGTTCTTGTAGAAATGAAAATAGTGCCTGGCATAGAGGAGGTGATCAATAAATGTAACTTCATTTTATTTATTGAGAATCTGACTTGGAGGGGGGCGGTAGCTCACGCCTGTAACCCCAGCACTTTGAGAGGCCAAGGTGGGCGGATCACCTGACTTCGAGACCAACATGGAGAAACCCTGTCTCTACTTAAAAAATGCAAAATTAGCCGGGTGTTATGGCACATGCCTGTAATCTGTGCTATTTGGGAGGCTGAGGCAGGAGAATCACTTGAACCTGGGAGGAGGAGGTTGCTGTGAGCGGAGATTGCACATTGCACTCCACCCTGGGCAACAAGAGCAAAACTCTGTCTCAAAAAAAAAAAAAAAAAAAAAAAAAAGAGTCTGAATTAATAGACACATCTTTTTCCAACAAATGCTCATTGGATGTCTACTGCAAGTAGATACTATTGCTTTCCCCATTTCATAATGGAGGAAAAGAAGGCTTGATGTAGTCAAAGTTACCCAAAGCCAACTAGAAGTAAGGGATAGAGCTAGGATTCAAACCCAAGTGTGTGAGAGCTGGGACAATATGCTACTGATCTTTGCATACTTATTTTTTTAATTTTTATTTTTTCAGAGATGTTGTGGGGGGCGTCTCACTACTTTGCCCAGGCTGGTCTTGAACTCCTGGGCTCAAGCAATCCTCCCACTTCAGCCTCCCAAGGTGCTGGGATTATAGGCATGAGCCAACTCACTCTGCCCTTGATCTTTGCATTCTTAGCACCTAGTGCAATTCCTAACACCTGGTGAATGCTCCCTAAATACAGAATGCAATAGATGCTTTAGAGTTAGCTGTCATTCTTCATCCTGCCAAGCTAGAGAAGGATGACTCTTGTTTTTGTTTAGTTTTGTTTCTTGCTTTGAGATCGAGTTTCATTCTTGTTGCCCAGGCTGGAGTGTAGTGGTGCTATCTTGGCTCATTGCAACCTCTGCCTCCCAGGTTCAAGCGTTTCTCCTGCTTCAGCCTCCCAAGTAGCTGGAATTACAGGTGTCTGCCATTACACCTACTAATGTTTTTGTATTTTTAGTAGAGACGGGGTTTCACCACATTGGCCAGGCCTGGTCTCGAACTCCTGACCTCAGGTGATCCACCAGCCTCAGCCTCCCAAAGTACTGGGATTACAGGCGTGAGCCACCGTGCTTGGCCTCCAGTGACTCTTCTCAGATCTGTTCGTTGTGCTGGTTTTATGGCTGTTCGTTCTCAGATCCAGTCCTCACACTGCCCCTGATTTGGTCTGGATCATGCACAAGGGGGTTGGTATGCAAATGGCATGGCCTAGGCTCCCTCCTCAACTGGCTCCCAGCTAGGTTCCACCAATGGGAGGCCACCCAGTGGGAGGTGTAACCATGGAGGCAATGCAGCCACAGTCAAAGACGCTGCCTAAAACAGAGAGGAAAGGAAGAATTACTCTGACTTATTCCTTCTTCCCGTATTCTTCCTCCTTTCAGGGCCTCCCGCTGACTGACCATAGTTGGATTCCAGCAGGTAAGGCAGCCTGAGGAATAAAGTTTGCTCAGGCGAGGCCGGGCGCAGTGGCTCTCGCCTGTAATCCTAGCACTTTGGGAGGCCGAGGTGGGTGAATCACCTAAGGTCAGGAGTTCAAGACCAGCCTGGCCATCATGGTGAAACCCCCATCTTAAAAAAAAAAAAAAAAAGTTTGCTCTGGCAAATTCCTCTGTGATGCAGGGGTGCAGTGAATGGATCTGAGAGCAGTCAGGCAAACTGTTCTTCCTTCTCTCTAGGTACAAGTTTCTTCCAATCCGGAGCTTTGTTAGATATAGAAGGTTCTGAATTGGGAGGAGCTATCTGGAAAAGTAGATGGTGGTGGGTGGGGAAGAGGGCAGAAATCCTCTCTCTCTCTTTTTTTTTTTTTTTGCGACAGAGTCTCGCACTGTCCCCCTAGGCTAGAGTGCAATGGCTCGATCTCGGCTCACTGCAACCTCCATCTCCTGGGTTCAAGTGATTCTCCTGCCTCAGCCTCCTGAGTAGCTGGGATTACAGGCATGTGCCACCATGCCTGGCTAATTTTGTATTTTTTAAAATAGAGACGGGTTTCTCCATGTTGGCCAGGCTGGTCTTGAACTCCTGACCTCAAGTGGTCTGCCCGCCTTGGCCTTCCAAAGTGCTGGAATTAGACATGAGCCACTACACCCGGCCAAAGTGTATCTTAAAGCAGAGGCTAATACATGTTTTTAACTTGCACATTTTGTTTTTTTAATATACCATTTACCCTGTGAAAAATGGTCACTTATCTGGAAGATGTATTCACTTAAGACTCCCACTAGAGTGGCCACGGGAACATTGTTCGTGAATTTGTGGCAGAATGAGACTCATCAATAGCTCTCCTAATAAATATAGATTAAAAGGATATCCAATATCTGCCTTAAACCCACAAAGGAATATAAATTTGCAGCAAGAGATCAAGACTCTAATGAAGGCAGCAGGGGATGGCTTTAAAGACAATTCCCTGTTGCGACTTGATGATGAAAATCAGTCTTAACTGTGCATTTAATTTCTTTTGTGGGTTCAAAGCAGATCCCTAAAGTTTTATTCGAGGAAGGTTAATCATGATAGTCTTTGGAGTCTATAATGCTTCTATTATTGGGTAGAGTGAGTAAAAAATATTTGTGTGAATAATATTTTGCCTTTTTAAAGTGAGGTGTTATGTAGAAAAAAAAAGAACCTGCAAAAATACTATCTTTGTAGACATCTTTGAAGAAATAAATGTGGGAAAAGGTGTAGGATTCATTAATACACAGCATTTATTTGTAAAAAAAAAAATGCCTTCCTAACTTTCCACAAAACCCATGTTTCCTAAGCAAAATTCTGTATGTTAAATATGGAAAGGAACCTTATTTTTAAATAAAAAGGAAATAAGAGCAACAACAAAACTTTCCAAAAAAATGTAGAGCCCTATTTAATGCAGAGCAACATTTTAGAAGTCCATGGCAGGTTCATAAAATTTGTGCACTCTCTCTTCCTTTTTTCTTATTGATTTCCCTTTTTGGCCTCTCTGTGCCTTTCGGGAGTGGCTTAAATTGTCAAATATACCATACTTTATTGACTTTCCCGCCTTCTGTGATCCTCTAAGCTCAGCTTCCCAAGTAGCTGAGACCACAGGTTGCACACCACTATGCCTAGCTAATTTTTATTCATTTTCATTTTTTGTAGAGATGAGGTCTTGCTATGTTGCCCAGAATTCATCTTCTACTCTTTGCTTCCTCTTTATTTCTCTCTAGCTCTAAGCCAGAAGTCTTCCCACTTCGCTATACATAAGGATCAAATGAGAATTTGAGTTAGAACTGCAGTGATTTCTGGGCTGGGCACGGTGGCTCACGCCTGTAATCCCAGCACTTTGGGAGGCCAAGGTGGGTGGATCACTTGAGGTCAGGAGTTCGAGACCAGCCTGGCCAACATGGTGAAACCATGTCTCTACTAAAAATACAAAAATTAGCTGACATGGTGGCACACTCCTGTAATCTCAGCTAATTGGGAGGCTGAACCTGGGGTGCAGAGGTTGCAGTGAGCCGAGATCCTGTCACTCCACTCCAGCCTAGGTGACAGAGCGAGACTCCATCTCAAAAAATAAAAATAAATCAACCTCCAAAATTTAGTGATTTCTGTGTTGCCATCCAGGAATCGTGAGTTTTGCCAAACATTCTAAGTATTGCTGTTGTAGGTGTTGAAATATACTATTAGGTTATGGAGTAAGATGTGAGCTTTCACCAGGGTATTTTCATTTTATTAAGAAGAATGAATCTTTAATCTGAATTACAGGCACCAGTAATCTTTGTGGCTAGAGGGTTTCTTCGGAGGAGCTTAGCCTCCTGACAGATTCTGTTGTAAGGCCCCCAGTTCTCCTTGCTTCCCTCTGGCTCCTTCTTTACCCCTACTAATTAACAGAGGCAATGGGGGTGCGATGGGGGTGGGGCCACTGAGGTCTAAGGATATTATCAATCTACGATTTAGAATTTAAGGGCTTGGCGAATCACTCTTTGGACTCATGGCCTCGCCTCCTCAAGTGCCAGGACAACTGGCCGGAGCCACCGTGGCCCCCGCGAATCACTCTTTGGTAGATGACTTTTTAGCTGTGGTTTTGAAAATTTAACACAAGCTGAAAAGTAATCAAATTCTATATTCAGAACTTGCCTTACATACAGGAAGTTCCTTCTGTAACCTGAGTTAAAGGGAATTGGTTTTTAACAATGGCTCCATTCGTCAACATAGCTGAAATTGTACCATTACAAATGATGGCCTTTGGACCCTGGAAAATTGTTAGACCTCAAAAGTCTAACAATTAACAATGCACCACACACTTCTAGGTCAATATCACCTTAAACTGGAGCCAGTGAACATTTTGGTGGTAGTCTAGGATGACTGGAATTAGGACCGTAAAAAGTGGCGGTGAGCGCGGAGAGAACGCCACGAAGGCCTCGGGCACACTACGAGAGTACAAGGTGGTGGGTCTCTGCCTGCCCACCCCCAAATGCCACACACCGCCCCTCTACCGCCGGCGAATCTTTGCGCCTGATCACGTCGTCGCCAAGTCCCGCTTCTGGTACTTCGTATCTCAGTTAAAGATGAAGAAGTCTGCTGGGGGCAGGTGTTTGAGAAGTCCCCCCGCCCCTGCGGGTTAGGAACTTCGGCATCTGGCTGCGCCATGACTCCAGGAGTGGCACCAATATGTACCGGGAATACCGGGCGCTGTCACCCAGTGCTACCGACACATGGGCGCCCGGGCCCACTCCACCCAGATCATGAAAGTGGAGGAGATCGCAGCCAGCAAGTGCCACCGGCCTGCTGTCAAGCAGTTCCACGACTCCGGGATCAAGTTCCCGCTGTGCCACCGCGTCCTGCGCAGTCCATACAAACTACCCGTCACCACAAGCTACGTGTCACCACCAAGAGGCCCAACACCTTCTAGGTGCTGGGCCCTTGCCCGCGTGTGCGCAAATAAACCCAGGAACACCCCGGTAAAAAAGAAAAAATAAAGTGGGAAAGAAGAGGAGAAAGAGGAGTTTTTATTTACTCTGAACACATAAAGAAATAAAATATTTAAATTAAAATTGGCTCATGCCTGTGATCCCAGCACTTTGAGAGGCCAAGGCGGGTGGATCACTTGAGGTCAGGAGTTGGGAGACCAGCCTGGCCAATATGGTGAAACCCCGTCTCTACTAAAAATACAAAGATTAGCCGGGCATAATGGGGGACACCTGTAATCCCAGCTACTCAGGAGGCTAGGAAAGAGAATCGCTTGAACCTGGGAGGTGGAGGTTGCAGTGAGCCGAGATTGCAACACTGTACTCCAGCCTGGTGGTCAGAGTGAGACTGTGTCTCAAAAAAGAAAAATAATTAACAAAGCAAAAAAAAAAAAAGTAAGAATGGCTCTTTGGATGAATCTCATACAAATTCTGAAAAACTCTTGACCAGGCAGAGTGGCTCACACCTGTAATTCCAGCACTTTGGGAGGCCCGGGTGGGTGGATCACCTGAGCTCAAGAGTTTGAGACCAGCCTGGCCAACAGGGCAAAACCCCATCTCTGCCAAAAATGCAAACATTAGCCAGGCATGGGCAAGCACCTGTGGTCCTAGCTACTTGGAGGGGCTGAGGCCAGAAGATCCCTTGAGCTAGGGAGGCAGAGGTTGCAATGAGCCAAGATCGCACCATTGCACTCCAGCTTGGGTGGCAGAGCAAGACTGTCTCAAAAAAGAAGTGTATATTTATTCTATATGTTTTCTTTTTTCAAGCAAGAGATCAGGTAATCTTTTCTGATATCAATATACAGTGAGAAAACAGTAGATACTTTTAGTATGATGCAGTACATATTGAAATCAATTACAAATATCAGTTTTAAATATTAACGTCTACTGTACTCAGTTTGGGATCTTAGGAAAAAATATTCAACATAATTTAAAATCCTGAGGCTGGGCTTGGTGGCTCTCATATGCAATCCCATCACTTTGGGAGGCCAAGGTGGGTGGATCGCTTGAATTCAGGAGTTGGAGACTAGCCTGGGCAACATGGTGAAACCCTGTCTCTACAAAAAAATACAAAAATTAGCTGGGCATCATGACGCGCATGCCTGTGGTCCCAGCTACTTGGGAGGCTATGGCAGGAGAATCGCTTGAGCCAGGGAGGCGAAGGTTGCAGTGAGCCGAGATGGCACCACTGCACTCCAGCCTGGGTGGCAGGAATGAAAGAAACCCTGTCTCAAAGACGAAAAATAAAACTATGAAATTATTATAGAAAAGGATATTTTCAGGCTAGAAGTGTGTATTTGAATCATGCAAGGTGTACTAAATTATGCTGAAGCTGTAACAAACTCTGAAAATGATCTCCTTTCGGGCAGTTACAGAAACAACTTGGAGGAGTCACAGATTGACCTGTATTTTTCTCTCTCTATTCTCTCTCTCTTACCTAGGTCAGTAAATTTTCTTTCTTTCTATCTTTTTTTTGAGATGGAGTTTTGCTCTTGTTGCCCAGGCTGGAGCGCAATGGTGCGATCTCGGCTCATCACAACATTTGCCTCCTAGGTTCAAGTGATTCTCCTGCCTCCGCCTCCCGAGTAGCTGGGATTACAGGTATGCATCACCACACACAGCTAATTTTGTATTTCCAGTAGAGATATGGTTTCTCTATGTTGGTTAGGCTGGTTTTGAACTCCCAACCTCAGGTGATCTGCCCGCCTCGGCCTCCCAAAGTGCTGGGATTACAGGCAGGAGCCACCACACCGGCCTTTGAACTGATTGTTTTTATTTTATTTATTTATTTTTTTGAGACGGAGTTTCGCTCTTGTTACCCAGGCTGGAGTGCAGTGGAGCAATCTCAGCTCACTGCAACCTCTGCCTCCCGGGTTCAAGTGATTCTCCTGCCTCAGCCTCCCGAGTCACTGGGATTACAGGCACGCGCCACCATGCCCAGCTAATTTTTTGTATTTTTAGTAGAGACGGGGTTTCACCATGTTGACCAGGATGGTCTCGATCTCTCGACCTCGTGATCCACCCGCCTACGCCTCCCAAAGTGCTGGGATTACAGGCGTGAGCCACAGCGCCTGGCCATATGACCAATTCTTATACAAGGAATTAAGGCTGCAACAATTTGAGCCATGTATGTTTATGTGAAATCAGATTTCTTTTTTCAAGAAAATTTATGGAATTTGCATTCTTATTTTTTGTTTGTTTGTTTGTTTTGAGACAGAGTCTTGCTCTGTCGTCCAAGCTGGAGTGCAATGGTGTGATCAGCTCACCAGCACTTCCGACTCCCAGGTTCAAGTGATTATTCTGCCTCAGCCTCCTGAGTAGCTGGGACTACAGACACGTGCCACCAGGCCTGGTTAATTTTTGTATTTTTAGTAGAGACCAGGTTTCACCGTGTTGGCTAGGCTGGTCTCAAACTCCTAACCTCGTGATCCACCTGACCTGGCCTCCAAAAGTGCTGGGATTACAGGTGTGGGCCACTGTGCCCGGCCTGTGTTCTTATTGTGTAGGCTCTAAACTACGGTAATGATAAGTGCAAACAAGTGTGTTCAACTGTGGGTATGATGTTGGTCCTCTATCCAAGCCACCAAGTGTGTGCGTTTTGCTGGGAAAATTACACACTCTGCAGCAGCCCCTCGAACGCCGATACCCGTGCACGGGTGTAATGGGAAACATTTGAGTCTGCTCGCAAAGATTCGCTCAGTGTGAAATGTGTTCCTAACACAATGGTCAGATCGAAAGGAGTTTCATTGCATGGCTAGGCATTTCTCCTTTCTTTGGGGAATATAAAAGGTGAATGCAATACTTTCCAGTTTAAAGTTACCGCAAAACTTCATCATCGTAACCTCAAAATCTACTCCAAAAATTATAGAGAACCAGAGGCCTTGAGCTGGCTGCAACCGCCTGTTTGATCTTGGTTAAGTTCCAAAAAGCCAGTGAGAGTTCAAAGCAGGGCCAGGGGCGACTCCACACTTTAATCCCTGCTCCTCTTTCCCTTCGCTCTGCACTCCCACTCTCCATCCTGCAGTATATATCCATTTCAATAACCCTGGACATTGTAGATTCTAGAACAATGAGGAAAGCGTCTCTCCTTATTGATACTGACAGGCCTTTTGGTCAGAAAATGTCCCTCAACAGATGTTAGAAAATGTGGTCATAAACCAGAAAGATATCTGTTACAACTTTTAAGGCCTTTTTATTTCCAACTCTCTACGTTCCATTGGATAAGGTTTAATTTTTTTTCTTTCTTTCTTCAGAAATCCCTCTTGAGGGTTCAGGATACAGGAAAAGCAGATGCCTGAAGATAAGTTGTTGACTTGGCTTCTACTTAGTAACCCCTTTCTTTCTTTTTTTTTTTTTTTTAATTATTTTTTGATTTACTTAATTAATTTATTTTTGAGACAGAGTCTCACTCTGCTGCCCAGGCTGGAGTGCAGTGGCATGATCTCAGCTCACTGCAACCCAGCATAGAAGAATTCGAAATAAAATTCCCAATGATGACAAAATCATTCTTTATAAATAAATAAAACTGGAGTTTTAACACTGTACCATAATGCCTTCTTCTTTTCCAAGAAAACTATTCTCTATATCATGAACCAAGGAAGTATGACAAACAATGGAAAAGGGAGAAAAATGAATGCAAATGCTTACCCAGGTGACAGTGATGACAGCTGTATGCGGCTTTGCTTCCGGGTCACCCAGAGCCCAAGTGAGTCTTCCACTTGCTGAAATAAGCATTCCCACCAGGCGCAGTAGCTCAGGCCTGTAATGCCAGCACTTTGGGAGGCCACGTGGCAAGGATTGCTTGAGTCCAAGAGTTCAAGACCAGCCTGGGCAACATAGTGAGACCTTTTCTCTACAAAAAATAAACAAAAATGTCTGGGCATGGTGGCTCACTCCTGTATTCCCAGCACTTTGGGAATATAAAAGGTGAATGGGGCAAATCTTCTCACCTCTGAGGTGGGAGGATCACCTGAGGTCAAGAGTTCAAGACCAGCCTGGCCAACACGGTAAAACCCCATCTCTACTGAAAATACAAAAAAATTAGCCAGGTATGGTATCATGTACCTGTAGTCCCAGTTACTCGGGAGGCTGAGGCAGGAGAATTGTTTGAACCTGGGAGGTGGAGGCTGCGGTGAGCCGACATGGCGCCACTGCACTCCAGCCTGAGCAAGACAGAGGGAGACTCTGTCTCAGAACAACAACGAACAACAACATCAACAACAAAAAACGAAAAATAAAATTAGCTAGGTGTGGTGACATGCACCTGTAGACCCAATTACTTGGGAGGCTCAGGTGGGAGATCTGCTTAACCGTGGGAGGCTTAGGTTGTAGTGAGCTGAGATCCTGCCACTGTGTTCCAGCCTCAGTGACAGAGCAAGCTCCTATCTCTAAAAACAAAAACAAACAAGGCCAGGTGCCGTGGCTCACGCCTGTAATCCCAGTACTTTGGGAGCCTGAGGCAGGTGGATCACTAGGTCAGGAGTTCAAGACCAGCCTGGCCAATGTGTTGAAAGCCCGTCTCTATGAAAAACAAAAATTAGCTGGGTATGGTGGCGCGTTCCTGTAATCCCAGCCACTTGGGAGGCTGAGGCAAGAGAATTGCTTGAACCAGGAACTAGAAGGTGGAGGTTGCAGTGAGCTGAAATCTCGCCACTGCACTCTAGCCTGGGCTACAGAGTGAGACTGTCTCAAAAAAAAAAAAAAACCGTACAAACAAATGAAAAGCATTCTCAAATATCCCACTTTTCCACTGACCCCAGCCCTGCTCCCTCAATTCTGAGTTTCAGGAGCAAGAATTAAGAGTGCTGCTTTGTTCGTATTTTCATTGCAAATCTTCTGAATGCTGCACAGACAATGCATGGTTGGCTGGGCGTGGTGGCTCATGCCTGTAATCCCAGCATTTTGGGAGGCTGAGGCTGGAAGATCACTTGAGGTCAGGAGTTCG